AACTTCGAATATTGTGCGTTTATTTATCAAGTCTTAGTAGTAGTACTATTGCTGATCGGAGATTCTTCCGCGATTAGACTTCCGTACGTCTTTATTGAAGGCAAACAGCCTTAGCGGAAAGGTTATATGATTTCCTGGTGAAAATATAAAGGAATTAATGGGTCATTAATCGCATCTATAAGAATAACATGAACATAATTGAAACTTAAATGCATTTGGATTTTGTTAGGACAATAGGATTTATTTAAAACAATTAAGGTTATATTTAAAATCGCTCTATGAGTCTACGGGTGTTAAACCCATTTTGAACCGGTAAGACATTTCTTTATAGAAGTGATCGTATATATGTATATATCGTATATACATGTCATCTGAAATTTATGTATGACTAAGACTATCTAATCTAATCTAGACAAAATTTTTGTAAGTGCGATGCTACAAGAAAACTTCGCAACCCCGTTGCTCGCTCTATTTTAATAAGACAAAAATTTCATCTATTCCTTTACTGTATTTACATATTTTGAGAATTCATATTCTAGATAGTTTTATTTGGGTAAATTTATTAATAGTAGAATTTTGTGGAGCTTCGTTTGTCCACATTATTACAGTTTCGTAGCAGGATCCAACTTGGTTTTATAAAATTATGAGATATCATAAAATTTAAGACCTTTTTTCCTTCGTTGAGTATTGTTTTGATGAGAAGCGAATAGTTTTAAAGATCTAAGCGTATGTATGTAGGAAGAGACCACAATTTGACGAACCAAGGTACCGTATCATTTGATAAACAGTTTTCCTGGTATAACGCGTCGAATTTATACGTCATTTGACGTAGAACTTTCATAGACCTTTGATTGGTTTCGCTTTGCAATGACGTAAGCATCAATATTATAGTATAATAAAACTTAAAGTAGACGTATTTTATATTAATCACCGATAAATCATGTATTCAAATTAATGTTGTCTGATGAATGAAGATGTGAGTTCCGATAGCTATAAGGGCAAAGTCAATGACACAATTGAAATAAAATTGGTTTCAATGTCCTCCATATTAAACGATCTTACGCTGCTATTAGTCACTAGTTCGTCACCGGCTATTCAACCTCACATTTTTGTACGATTCATTGACTTTTACACTAATTTATGAAGTTCAGTGTCAAAGAGTTTCGTTTTCGTTAAACAAAAGTACGTAGTTTATTGTTTATATTTCAGCCACCTCTGAAATAGGATTTTTAGCTTGTTCTGTAATACAACCGTGCTTAAATAATGTATATATAGTAATTTTATTAAATAAATAGGTATTAATTTATTACGAAAACACAAGTCTTATCTCTTGAATTTATTTTGTTTCGTGTAATTTCTATTAATTTCTCTGTAGGTGTGATTGTTCGTTTATCAGCACATATGTAACCGATATAGACCAGAGTCATTGTCACGAATGTTTACGTACCTTATCGATGATGACTGAGCATGAGTTACACTTCAAGATATAAGATTGGAGAACGTCGTGTTCAAGTACTACCTAGAGAGAAGAGTAAAAAACACAGGAATTTTTTTAATCATTAACATGCGTATAAGGACACTAGCGACGTATAGTAGGAGTATTAATTAATAATTCAATAAATTTGACATACATTTATTATAATATTTAGACTTTAATTCCCATGAAAATATTATGTTGGCGACACGCGTAAATCTCCTCTTATATAATAACCGTCTCAATTGCGGTTGCAACCATTCTTACCTCATTCCATTTGCTCGCAAGACCAGTATGCCGTTGATAGTTTTGTTGATTTAGTGATTTTTGATAGAAAACTTTGTCTCAAAATATTTGTAAAACGTATATCTCATTGTACAGCAATTACCTTATATCGGGTTCAAGTTCGGCCGGACGACAATGAACTTGGCCATGACTCATGTCCGTCACTGTAATGTTATGAAACCAACATCTGCAAATGCAACTCAACACCATATAACACTATTGTTCTAATATATGACAGTTGAAATACGTGACTAAATTTAAATTTAATTAATATTGAATGTGAAGTCTACAGTGGGGTATGTGGATGCTGCTTTTGATTCATTGATTCATTGATTTTTATTTGTAGACAAGTGATTAGCTTTTTAAGCTGATAAAAACTTTCACCACAAGCTGACTTTCATTTATTTAGTTTGTGTCAACGGAGCCACCGAGGGATGCTTCAAAAAGCGCAATATTATTGAAGACATACCTACAGTTAATGTGTGTAATGTGTTGATTCATTTTTAAAAGCGAAACGCGAATTAAACATGCAACAATACCTATTACATCTACGTAGGTCAAATATATGGTCTTCATTTTCAATTGTTCCTTGACAAATTTATCTTTAAAAGTTGATTAAAAATAAGTAACAGAAAAGTTCATCACATAAAAGGGGAAATAATAAGCTTAATTGATTCTTATAATTAAATAAGAATCGTACAATAACAGGTCAATCTAGTTTATACTTTAATTGAAATTAGTATTGACAAATCTTTTTGTTATATGTATGTATTCGTATTTTTTTACTTTGATCGGTTTTGTAATCTTTTTCTAGAATTACATTGGAACAATCCGACGTTTCAATGCGTACTGGAGCTTGTGTGACGGTTAGGCATTCAGTGGTACATAAGGAGGCATTGCTCAGCATTATAAACATGTTAGGAGTTAAGATCGTTGAGGCAGTTAACGTTTCGACCGTGACATTGAATACAGAGTGACATTATACGTGTTTCGTGAAGTGATTTCATTTCCACAAGGTCTTCAAAGGCCACCTCGACGTCGAACGCTATTGGCATACTTATTCGTACCAGTAGACCGTTGTAACCGAGGATCCTAATCTAGTTTTACATTAAAATATGTAGTTTTATACCGCTCTATCGCCAAGGTCACACGCCATCATTTCCATAATTCAAATATTTAAAATCTCAATCCGAGTATTATCTTTAAACCGGTTTCCGTGCAAAGCAGTTAAATCTCTTAAAAGAGCTTTCAGCTTATAATGAAACGGCTAAAAATAAAACCTCTTCAGCTCTCATTGTTCGATGTCTCCTGGTTTTAATCGAAGAAAGCCGAAATGCGCCGAAGATTTCCGACGGGATGACAACCGAGCTTTCCGTGGAACGCGGAAAACGTCGGCACATGTTGAAAATACGGATGGGCATTGACCCTTGGGCCTGAACTACAGCTGTTTGTGAACTAGTGCGGCGCATCCTATGCGTTTATTTATATGCCTGTGCGTGTAAGTGTCTACCGTTTATCTACTAGATCACTCATGCCCCGCCCAAAGGATGGCATGTGAGACGACAGTGAGCTTTTATTTTAATTCAACATAACATGTGGGAAATGTTTGCTGGCAGGGTTTTAGAAAAGTGTGGTATTTACGGCCATTTTTTAAAAACCAACATTCCTTTTTGACTTAACTGATTGTGCAGTTCTAATTGTACCATCATATATGCTATGTACCACTTTCATGGTAGACTGTATCTAATTATGTATTCTAGATACAAAGGATGGAAACGCAGTTTTATTTAATTCAATTACGAGAGCCAGACATGAAACATAATGTTTAAGGAACTTTATTCTGCTGAACGAAAATTAATATTATTTTTATATGAGAACTAAGTTATTAAATAAATTCGTCGCACGTTGCCATCGGACAGTTTTATTATTTTCTATCTTCTAGACTCAGCTCTTGGGTATGTACACATTAAGGTTTAATGCCCCATTAAATTTATCAAATACGGCAATAACCAGAATTTTTGAAGGTTTTTAATAATTAAAATCGATCTTAAATACTTAAATTTACGAAATTCCCAAATCTTACTTTACTTAATATCCACAAACATACAAACAAAAAACTACAAGAAGTATGCAGATTCTTCCCCACACATAACGCTTCTTTCGTCGAGCTAATTAAGAATAAGATTTATAAGTTAAAATTTTAAAGCAATTAAGCCGACATGACTTTAAACGAACCGTCAGACGTGGTAACTTGACAAATACATTTAACGAAAGTAAAACTTTATCTTAGTCGTCACAATCCTGTTTCCGTTTTGGCACATTCTTTGTTATTTTTAAACCTTTTAAAAACACATTATTTTTTATATTTTGGGTTTATTATTTGGGATGTCAAAACAGTTATTACAGCCTAAGTACTTAATGTATCTAATATTCAGTCGTAAACAGAAAGTTTAAATACATTTTACCAGGTTAGTGAACTTTAGCGAAAAAATTCGGGCCTAGACTATACTGACGTGTAAACATATTTTGTGTTCTGAGGTGAAAATACCGAATTCGGGAATATTGACTCGACGTCGACTCTTTTCAACTCGGCCTTTTGCTGCTCAAAGGGTCGTTTTCACCCGGTACGGGGACAACTACTAACCACAACGGACTTATCGATCCCCGGGTTTCAGCCTCCACGTCGTCTTAAAACTCTGACAGAACTACGACTCTCGACGGTGTGATCTTATATTCAAAACAAACGGCCATAGATGTTCAGAAATTAAGATGTACCTATGTAGAGAGATGGTTGGACTATTCCACTATATTATTTACTATTTGGATACAACAAATAAATTATTATAATTTGTGTCGACATCTTTTCGTTATTGACCAATTCAAAGAGACAATTATTCTTCCCTCTTTACTTATAAAATATATTGAAACATTTACAGTAGGTAAATTATTCATACGATTCCCGTATTATCCGTATTATTGTCGCATTGCATCCGCAAAATAACAGGCGCTGTAAAACACCTCCTGACAATTTTATATTCCCATAATGAATAAATAAAACATAAAGAATGGTAAATGTTAAAATTATTTAAGGCTATAAGAAAATTTTTTCATAAATTTCTTTCTTTTTCTTCATCGATATGAAAAAATATTTATGTAATAATTATCTAATATCTAAATCATTTAAAATAGATACTAATAGGTACTTGACTGTGCCAACTTTATAAAATAGTTGTGTCCGGAAATGGGAATCGTATGGAAGGTCGATGAACCCACTGCTGAGTCAATGTCAGAGCGGGGTCCAAGATTCGGCGTTAAGGGTGAGCACGGGGTAGCAGGGTGCATTCGGGGTAACGACCGACTCGGGGTTAACGCCCGGCGCCACGCGGCCGCGAGAACAGGCCATCCGATTGATTGGAGCAGCGCAACACTATACAGTACCCTTATGATTCAATTACCCCAGACCCAATAGAGGAAATTACACTTTGTTCCGTGACTGATAAGGCGTGATTTTGCCTGCCGAATTGCTATTTAATACGACTTTATTCGATACCTAACGCACACCTATACGTTAAGGGAAGTAGTTTTGCTCAAAATATTGATTTATCCGCGGGCTTTGCGGCCTCGTGGTGTGTGGTTGTGTGCGTGAGTCTATTTAGAATGTAGCACGTGGTCGTAGCTTGTTGACATGCGTTTTTTTATGACGGCGAACTCTTTATTACTTTACAGTTTACATAAAGCTTTTTTAGTTGAGTTGAGTTTTAATCGTTAATTATTTTTATTTAAATGTCTTATACGAATTATTTTACCTTACGTTTGGAGAAATAATAGGATTTTTAAATATCAGGTTGATTTCTATAAGAATAGAAGTAGATTGTGATTTAATATTACTCCATTGAAGTTCATATTTTTAAAATATATGAACATATAGCGCTGACTCTGCGACAAACCTAAGCCAATTTAATGCTATTCTATGTATATTTCTATTTAATGCTCTTCTATATTTATTATTTAATAAAAATAAAATAAATCAGTGGCGCTATAACAATTTTTAGGTCTGGGCCTCAGAATTCTGTGTTTGTTTCATGATTGTTTGTTAATCTAATATTTATTATTAAAAGTGATGTAAAAAAGTTCATTATACTACGATATGAGTACATGAAATTGGTTATCGACATACGAACTCACGCACACATTAACACAACCTTACCCTTGATTTTGCTCAAGGTCTCTACCCTCTCTGACACGCATTCATTTCCATTGGTTTCCCCATAAAGCCATCCTCTTCTAAAGTGCGGACATTGTCGAAATTCAACGATCGGTCGTTGGGGTCAACGAACGAGACAATATACGTAATAAATAAACATTGTTACATAATGAATATCTATCAATTGTTTTGATTTGATTTCCGTCATGCTGCAAATAAATTTCGTTGAGTACATAACACTCATTGTTTGGTGTGAGAACAATAATATTTAAAGAACATGCAACATGCATATTCAGGCAATTGAATACCTATTAAAAACATTAAATAAACTATACCTTCACTATACGTGAAAATGATTTTTTCACAGGAAGAAATAAATAAAAACCCTTTTTTTAATTACTATACGTTAGTTGACACTTGCTAAGTATAATAACAGTAATGCTATATCTAATAAATAATATACCTACCCTTTATTACGCAGAACACTTTCAAATATAAAAAAAATCGGTTGTCTGTAAAGTCGGTTTACTGACGATAGTTGAACGTGAAAACGTCATAAGAAAATACTGATGGAATGGTTGCATTTTTAAAAAGAAAATTTTAATTTTATTTGTTTGATAGATATTTTGTGGGATTTAGAGAAGGAGGTAAATATGAATCACAATTGAATTGATCGATTACAATCGATATAATACGATATATACTATAAAGATATCGAACGCTGCCAAACGCGGAGGCCGATTGTGCCTCTTTGTCGCTCGTTCCGCAAGCCATCAAATGGAACGCCTCAGAGCGAGGTAACGCCGCATGCGTCATGTTTTTTCGTGCGTGCAGCCGGCTCTATCGAATTATAAGACGTTGTCACGTCAAAAATCTGAGATTAATTATACCATGTCTAGGTTTATCATTATTTAGTCAGAACCGAAATACGGAGGCTGATCATAATAATCAATACCTTTAAATGAATAATTACAACAACGAATTGGCTACGAACATAATATTTGACGTCAGATATAACAAGGACAAAATCGCAACAAATTAACGCCGATAAACAATGCGAAGTGTAATAACAGGCGCCGTCGGTTGATTACGTTAGTACTTAGTGCATCGGGGATGGGACACGACCTACCCCCCAGGACCTAGGGCAACGATGCACCCTTGTCTACATATAGACGTCTACATGGTCTAGATAGATGTCTGGCACTGACGCACACCAATGTAAGTAACGTAAATATTGCCTGTTTGGTAACGATGGATTTTCGGCTGTAGGTTTTATTTAAAATTAGTTTTTACGCGTTTTCCTGTTTTGATTTATATAGTAATAGTGAAAATATTATTGATCGATTTAAATTACAAAAAATGTTTTATTGAACCTTATTACGGAAGTTGATGTCCAGCGAGTACATCGTTGTTGAATTGGTATAAAAAGTAGAATTGTCTTAATTGAAGCTATCAAAATTGCTCCTATACTTTGACAAATACTATTTTAGTAACGATTGGAGTTGAAGAGTGTGTATCTTTCATTTATTTAGTGTTTATTCTACAAATATAAACTAGTTAGAAATTAATAGTAAAATAACTGGGGATTTGACATATAACCGAACATTCCTGTGTCACACAAACCATAATATTTATCTAACCACTAAAGAATATTCTTATAGAGCAATGAGACATTACTTCAGTAAAAGACCTACCCCAACGAATCCGAGCGTTGCACTCAGATCTAGACAAGTCTGTGTGCCTAGTGCATAGGGCACACAGATGCAACTGACACTCGCCGAAGTTCAATTACGTTATTGGGGGGTTGGGAGGTTTTGCATGTGTGGGACTACGTTTTTATAGCGATATTTTGCGTTGTTTGTTATTTACGAAAATTATATAGTGGGTGTTGAGTTTTAGTTTTTTGTTTGGCTCGAACAACGTGTTTACCATGATTTAATTTGGTATATATTCGTATATGGATGGACTTGTACAAGTATGGATGGAATTGATTTGACGAAGCGATTTTTAGGATTTTAGGATTTTTAAACATAATATAAAATAAACTGGTAACAAGGTTATCTTGTACATATTTACAAATGGATATTAATGTATAATATAATAATCATTATAACAACCGATTGATTTACTCTCCGTTTTAAAATATCCATATTAGTGCTTTAAACGATAAATCACGCAACATCATTTTTAAGAAGCCAAACATGGCAGAGTTTTATGGAGCATTATTTTATATTTAAACAAATTTATATTACTAAAAACAGTACAGCGATATTTTGTGTTGGTGAGCACATTGTTTTCTCTTAGATTTTGGTTGCTGAGATTAGAACAAATTAAGTAACCATCAAAATTTGGTAATGAAATGGTTTTTTTTTAATTTTATGTCCATTAATTTTAATTTACAATCATTTTAAGTATGTTTTTATGTATTAATATAATAATAAATTATATAATATATATAATTACCTAATACTTTATTGGTATTAGATTTCTTTACTAGAATTATTAATAGTATAGAATTTACGATAAAAGCTATTATATCGTTATTATAAAAATCAAAATATATGTTATTGTTATCTGGAATAGTGCCACCTATCGGCGAGTGGCTTGACTTCCTTGCGTCCTGTTGTCGATAGATGGCATGACTAACAGAAAGTACTGCACTGCGTGTTTGATATTCATCTTAATTACTATATGAAATGCTACATATTTTAAGTTATGAAAGTCATCATTACTACATAATTATTATACAAATTATGGTGGCCACTTAGTGGTATGTTAGGTATTTTACATACAAAGAGAATATTAAATTCATTAATAAAAAATATTTTATTTTACTAAGATTTCATAAAGGTTTCTCATTCTGATTTTCTTTCATCTTAACAAAGTCTTATTATCTTGCTACATATCTGTATCTTGCAGCAGTTGCCTAAAATATTGTTGCTTTAAAAAGAAGACACACTTATATATAGCTTCTAGTCGGTATAATAGCATTTTCTTAGAACCTGCCATTCTAGGCTCGCAATTTCACCTCGCGGACGATGACTAATTATGTTTGGGCAGTGTGCCAGTGTCATGTGAATATTTAGGACACCGCCACAGACTTTAAACAAAACAAATTTCCAACTGTTAGGTAGATACAAACCGTTGAATGATCTAAGAAAATGACTTTCGTTTTCACTCGTTTTACGCTATGAGGCCGAGATGATTAACTGTGGAGACAATGGAACAAATTTTAGTATTCTGTTCCAATTCTATTGCGAAAGAAAGCCTAGAATTATATACTGATGTTCGCAATTTCATCTTTACAGAAACTAGAATAAATTGTATCATAATCGGTGCTGCCATTTGTATTTAAAACAGGAAATTCTTTAAAAAATCTTATGTAATTTAGTTTAAAAATTTAAATATTTGTGTATTATATTCACCAAACGATTTCTTCTTTTTAAGTGAAACCCTTTATGTATCTCAAGCACAGTCATAATTTTGATTTTAAACCTTATAGAGAAGATTCAAAATTGCTTGTAGATGGACTTGAGATTGATATTATTGAAATACGACACGAAGAATTTTAGCAACCTACTTAACTCTTAAATTGTAATCAAATTCCTGGTCTGAGTGTTGCAAGCGATGGTGATCTATCAAGATAACCCAAATTGTATGGGAACTAAGCATACAACTCTGAAAACCTAATAAACAGATTTCCTAATATTTAAGATCAACAATAATTATAGTGTAAGACGATTAATATTCAATGTGTTTTGCTTACTGAACATTTTAGAAATACGTTTTATTCGACATTTATATGTCGTGTGATCATTTATATTATGATATAGATAGTTTAGTGCCGGTGTCGTCGACATGTAATCAAGATAAAAAGCCGAAAATTATCTATAGTCGGGTATCGAACCCAAACCAAAATCACATTGCAAAATCATGTGCGCAATTTAGCCGCAGCTAAAAATAATCAGAGTAGGTATCTACTGATTCTTGCAGGCCAACTCATCCCTACATTTAACCCTATGCATACTTATATATTAAAGGAAATCACATTCGTAAATTATAACAATGCTATTTAGTTCTAAACGCTCTGTAGTCGAGTAAAGTAGTTAAATTTCGTAGTAATCTAACGAAAACGAAACCGCGGTTATAAAAATAAAGATATTCTAGCAATACGTGATTAGTGATTGCATGAATACTTATTGAGTTCCGAAAATAGACACAGTAAGAAAAGCACTTAGAACTTATGAAATATGAGATGTTACGAA